CCCCTATAAATCTCAGGTTGTCTCTTGCAGTTTTTTCTTTTTATTTTTTTAACTATTGCTTCCCATCTCATCCCTTAATAGATTCTTCTTTGTTCTTCCTTCCTTCCGTCTCCATGATGCTCCTTGCACAGTCTCACTCTGTCCTCTCTTAGCTTCACCTGTTAGTAGCTGCATTTGAGCCCAGAGAGAACTCTACTGGGAAGAGACTCCCTTTCAGCAATATGAAGTGAGGGAAAATGATTGCAACTCATGGAGATTTGACCGAGTTCAGCTTCCCTGATTCCCTGGTACTAACTGGAGATGGCAGCCATTTTGAATTAAATCGAACTGCACATTTGAAGGCAAGCACAGAACTTAATGAAAATCACAAAGAAAGATACAAGCTATTCAAAGCTTAAAATTGAGCCCTAAATTTGGCTATCAGTTTTATTTCAGATGATCAACTTTTAAAATACTAATTTGTTTAATAACAAATTTATATAGATTTAAGCTTAATATAATAAGTTGACAAGCAATTACTGCAAATATAATATGGAGATATATTAAATATTTATTTGACTATTTCATCAAGGCCTGAAAAAGAGAATGAATAATCAAGGAGCAGTACTTTAATACAATTCTTTTGATCTCCAACATTAAGACTGTTGGAATTATTCACTGTTTTCAACAAAGCTAAGTAACCTAGCAATATGGAAGTATTCTATTTTGGCAAAACTGCATAAAAAAATAACTGCTATGATAGTAACATGTAAAATTAAATTACAAGATGAGGCTTTTTTTTTCTACTTGATTCCACCTTCAAAAAGATAGGGAGCCCTCAATTAAGCTAAAATGAAACAAATCTAAACGGAGAAAAATGTTTCTATAATAAAAATATTTTTCAGTACCATAATACTTCATTTTAACCTTCAAGCTAGTTGGAATATTCACTTTCTAGAAGAAAAGACTAGCATGGTTTGTTAGTCATAGTAGGCTTAAATTGCTTCATAACGAATTTCATAAAATAAAAATAGACTTAATACAATGTTAATTGAGTTAGCTAGGCTTATTTTGGCCTTTCTTACATTTGTTTATTTGGAACTGGCCCAGGTCAAGTAACTCAGATACCAGATTGAATTAAGCTCGTGTTCTGATACAGCTGGCAGTTACAAGAGTTGGCTGGTGGAAACAAAAAGTGGTTTTACTCTAGTGGCTAGTTGATCAAGCACTGTCTTTACATCCTGATTTTCTTTGGTTCTGGAGTGCTCCATTTGTGAATATCATACTGAGCACTCTCCTTATCTTAGTGATTGATCTACAAAGTGAAGGTGTCTCCTGGGAAGCAGTGACAGTAAGGGTGCGGCCCCTTCCACATGAATCCTCACATCATCTGAAAAGCAATAACCCAGAAGTAAACAGAGACATAAAGGAGGGGTATAGAAGGCCTAGAGCCAGCCCTGTGATAGCTGGAATATTTCAACAAATGAGATGTTTTCCAGCTGCTGTAAGAAAACAGTTTTCCTGCCCTTAATGATTCAGAGTAGCACAAACAGGTTAGAGCAAGTGTTGAGAAACTCTTAATTATGGCATTGATTTAATTCAAGCAGACCATACAGTCCAATGTAAACAGACTATAGAAAGTAGAGACATAAGTGTTTTAACAACCCATTTTCAACTGCCTTAATTTACCTTTCTCAGCTTTAGTCATCTCTCTTTGACCTATAAAGCTATGCATATTTCATTCTTTGAAAAATCAGCCTGCATGTTCATTAAACACTGAGATTTTCACGCTTCTGATTTCAACTATGTAATTTCCATACAAGCATTAGTATTTGGTCCTGAATAGTTAGTATTATGAATAATTACCCAGAATAAATATCCAGAATAATTTATGGACCAGTACAAGACAGAACATAAGTGCTGGCAAATTAAGTTCTGAGAACTCTACCTGACTTAACTTACTCATCAAAATATTAATATCTTACGAGAGGAACTCCTGTAAGGCTGTGTACTGATGTTGAGGTTGGAGATATGTGGATAGTGGAAGGAAGGTAGTTGAATGGGTAGTTGAAATGTACAGGGTAGATGGAATGTTAAACAGCAAAATTTGTACCTTCCCTTTTTTCTGAGTAGTTTATTTTTTTGGTATAATTTTCAGTGTAGTATCAACAACTGTGAAATGAAAAAGTTGTACCTTGGAAGTTTGAAACTATTGAAATAATATAACTTTTTGCCTATGTGCTGTTTTGTTTTAAATTTTCATGCTGAACTTATTTGCGTTCAAGTGTCAGAATATTTTTAGTAGTTACATTATGACAGGTGAATATCTAATATTTCTTCAGCTAAGCAACATGACACAGTCTCCTTTGTAATAGCTGTGTATTTTATAGATGGTATGAGCTTACAGTTAGTTTCTTATATTAGAAATCTGGAAGCATAGTTGGGAAGCATATTTGGAAATACTAGAACTATTTCTTTGCTGATTGTTCTGAATAGGTAGTCATTTGATGCAGGTACAAATTAAACTGTTAAAAGCTCTTTAGTTACTTACTTTCAGATCAGTCTGACAGATAATTATTTTCTCAGAGCTGGTGTTTCAGATTGCAGCAGTACTCCCTGGAGAGAGGGAGTGTACACACAGTTTTCCTTTTGAGCCCTCTTCCTTTCAGGATAGGCAGCAGTGAAATGCCATCTATAGATAAGACTTCAAACCCCAAGATTCCTTCGAAGAGCATGCGCTGAAAGCTTCCAGTTGTCTTGCCAGAGTGGTCGACTATTTGTCATATACCAAACCTGAGAGAAGAAAATAAGTATACTGTCATTTTGTTGATCTTTAAATACAGGAAACCCCAAGGTAACCGTTCCTTAAAAATTTCTGTGATGACTGCATGGGTTACTGCATGCAAATGGAGTTGGTATTGCTATAGGGATATAGATTTCCTGTACTGGATTGTAAATTTGTACAAATACTTACACCAGCAAGTAATCAAGAGGTACTGCATACTAGTCCAACATTAGACATTGGCTGGCCTGTCTTTCAAAGTCATTTATTATTCAGTGTTTTTCCATTCAGAATGACTTAATTCATTAAAGGTAGGTCTTGACCTTGACAAGAATTGTGCAGTGATTTTTACCTTTAAGAAGCAATGTGAAAATGACTGGATTACAGTCCTTAGGATAAAGTTCAAAAACAGCTCGCCAAGCCAAGGTACATATCTGAAGCAACTGCTGTGCTAGCCACTATAGATAACCTGGTGACTAACTGATGTAAATATGCTTTATTGTCGACAGAATTTTAACATTTCAGCTGCTATGTTTTTCTCTCTAAATATATTTTACTACTGATAGCTCAGAACCAGGGGAGGGATACATACAATATTTTTCCTCTCTCTGATGTGGAATCTGTAGTCATTTTATGCATCCTTAGGAGTATTAGTGATTTTGATAGAAATAAAGCTAATGGAAAGCTACACAGAGCTTGGTATATTATGGGCTTACTGCAGTATTGCTTTAAACTGTCTTGCAAGGTTTTCTGAACCCCCAGCAGCAGCAGCAGAGCTGCCTGTTACAGATGCAGTAGCTTACTCCGTTCTTATTAGGAACTTGCCTAGATATTGTCTCACTGCATAGTCTGTTGATGAACCCTTGCTGTTCAGTTTACGTATTAAATGGGTAAATAAGATAGAGCATGAGCAGTAACTTAATGGAGAGCAGAAACATGTCCTGACATTCATTTTAGCTAAAAAGTGTGTGCATGCCTCATAAGAGATTTAAAAAAAGAAAAAAAACCCCCAAGAAATTCTAAAGATACACAGGGACCATCTGAAAACTGTTGATGTCAGAAAGGAGAGCATTGTCAATTTCCTCTTTGCCACCTTTCTTAAACGGTTAATTGTTTTGGCTTTACTTTGTAACATTAAAACAACAATCCGAAAAATGCAATCTAAGGAATGATTGTACAGTCTAAGGAATGATGTACATGTCATATGATTAGCTCAACAGAAATGCAATTAGGCATTTAGCAATGACAATCTTTGACACAGTCACAGTGATTTTTGCTCATTTCAAATACTTTTGAGATTTAAAACATTCTCTTCAATTGACGAAAAGTCTGCAAAATGTGGAGGTTCCTGTTCCAGTTTCATATAATTGTAGTTCATTGATATATATGCATTAGTACTATTGTGTTTCAAAATAATAATCAAATTATATGATATATTTCATATGAAGCACCTTTTCTAGCAGATGTAAGACACAACCATTCTACGTACATTTACTTTTTAAAGTTTAAACTTAAATATTGTTTTAGCAAATAATTTGCATCAGTGGTCTTTGTCTTATGCATATAAAGATGGCTTTTAAAATGTGGCATGTCAACATTTTAAGTACTTCCATTTGCCCCAGTTTTATTTTTCATTGTGAAAGCACCAGAAACATCGTAGTCTAGTAATACCTCTTACATCTGCTCATTTTGACAGTATTTTTTCTCCAGTGAACAAATTATTGATGATTTCATATACATAGAAATACAGCAGCTAGAGGAGTACCTTTAAGCAAAGGACTGCTTTGATGTAAAGTAGCGTTTTACACGGGGAGATCGTAAGGTCACTGAAGGCAAATATAGCACCCGTCGGTGGCTTTCTGCACGAAGCGTCTCCACGTTCCCCCCGGCCCCCCTGCTGCCGCTCCTCATGCCCCGAGCAGGCAGCGAGCTGTGCGGCGGAAAAAGGCCAGAAAACGATTGTGCCGCTTAGAACCGCTCCCCTATCAGTGCGAGATTTCGCGTGTGCTTTCTCTCTGATAAACTGAAATAATTGAAAGCTTGTTTGCTAATTAAGGAAAATCGGTACCCGGCTCCTTTAAAGGTCCCCTAATTTTTCTATTAGGGGGTGGAGAAGAACGAAGACTGGTGTCTTTTTAACCTTGCTGAAGGACGCAGCAGTATTTATTGACGTATGCAAATAACCAGGGGGAGGAGGTGGAGGAGGAGGAGGGTGCTTGGAAAAACAGGAACCAGAATCAGTTTCTCATTGCAGGGTGAGAGCTCTGAGTTCCGGTGTAAGAGAAAAGAGACGTGGCGAAATTGCTGTATATCTCTGCCCTATAAGCACATCTCTCATTTAGACTGAAGGGAAACAAGGCATCAAAAAGGGTGAAGCATCTTAAAAATATTTTAAAGGCTATCTAGCACGATCAAAGGTTGCATATTCCTAAATGGGGGAGGGGGGAAGATTACGGCTTTGCCTTGCAATTTGCTGTAGCATAGCACTAGCTATAGGACGAGATTTTTGGCTGGCAAAATCGAAACAGGCTGGTTTGTGGTATGAATGACAATGTTAATAATCTGTCTTTGTGGTTTTTTCCCCTACTGTTTCAGCTGCGCAAACCATGCAGGATGATTTACTGATGGACAAAAGCAAAGCCCAGCCCCAGCAGCAGCGGCAGCAGCAGCAGCAAGATCCAAACTCAGCAGAAGCCCCCTCTACACCCATCTCATCGGAGACACCCAAACCAGAAGACAACAATTCAGTGACTAGTATCGGCACATCGGCTCCTTCCCAAAATAGCAAGGAGAAGATGCAGATGGAGTCTCCCATTTTGCCTGGCTTGAGCTTTCACCAGCCTCAACAAGAACCTGCAGCCGGCACCTCCTTGTCTCCCTCCTTTGGCAGCACCTGGTCTACCGGGACCACAAACACAGTGGATGATAGCTTTTTCCAAGGGATTACTCCAGTGAATGGGACAATGCTTTTCCAGAATTTTCCACACCATGTCAACCCTGTATTTGGTGGCACTTTCTCGCCTCAAATTGGCCTAGCTCAGACTCAGCACCACCAACATCAGCAGCAGCAGCAGCAGCAAGCTCAGCAGCAGCAGCAGCAACGGAGGTCACCTGTAAGCCCTAATCAGGCACCTTTTGCCCAGAGAAATGCTGCTTACAGCCATCAGCCCATCATGACCAGCAAACCGTCTTCCTCCTCTGCCTCCTCTTCTTCCTCCTCCAGCTGGAATAACCATCAAAACGCAGCTTGGAGTACACCTTCCAACCCTTGGGGTGGGCTGCAGGCTGGTAGGGACCCTCGAAGGGCAGTTGGAGTGGGGGTCGGCGTGGGAGTGGGGGTCGGTGTACCCTCCCCCCTCAATCCCATCTCACCCCTTAAAAAACCATTCTCCAGCAATGTCATTGCCCCTCCGAAGTTCCCACGGGCTGCACCCTTAACCCCCAAATCCTGGATGGAAGACAACGCGTTCAGGACGGACAACGGCAACAATCTGTTGCCTTTTCAGGTAAATGATTACACGCACCTTCTACATGGTGACAGCTATTACAAAGTGGTATTTTTTGCAGGGGTGTATTTCACATTACTGTTGTATCTGAGAGGCATCTCTCACCTTGTATGAAAGAAGTGAGGTTGATCCTAGGGAGTGCATACACAAAGATTCCAGATTCTAGCTTAGCATTTATAGTCTTATTTTTCTTGTAACTTATTCTTAAATATGACAGGACTTTTGGGGTTTTTGCTGGCTTTTTTTATTTAGCATGGGAAAAGTAATGGCATTTCACATGAAAAACAGGTTTGGCGAACTACATACACTTCGTGCTGTGTGTTAGAAATTTTTTTTTCATATTCTCCTGTTTGTGAGAAGTAGATGATGTTAAAATCTCTGGTTTCAGCTTTCTAACCGGCCTGTTAATTTTAACCAAAAATGCTTCTTGACCTGAAATCAAGTTAATTATTTTATCACCACTGAAATAACTGATTGTCCTTATGTTGTGGTGGGATTTAACGTGGAGTCTGTTCACATAAGGTATATATATGAAAAGCTTTATACATCTGATACATACACTCTGCTGTTATATTCACAGTGAACGTTTTGAATACATGTAGAAGCAGCGTGGGTGTGTATGGAGTATCTGTCCTTTCCAGTAAGGAAATGCCTAATACAATTGACGTGATTTAGAAATGGCAGGGAGGTATTGTATAAAATAAACCATTTTATGCTGTTCAAAATATTTGCAGAGAAAAGAGACAATAGGACACGACCTTCAGAGCCATATTGCAATGGAGTCTATTTACTAGCTACATAGCTCTGAAATATTTAAAGCTGCAGTGCCCTTCACTGTGTGGGGTTTTTTGTTTGTTTCTTTTTTTTTTCCTGTGACGACAAAGCAGATCAATTGCAGCTGAAACTGGGCCACATAGAAGATTTGCAATTTTAATGCAGAATGAAACCTGTCATGGTGTGAAATCCATTTTAAGTTGAAAAAAGCAGAGTGTGCACTTGCAGTTATATCTTTACAAGGTGAAGTGAATCTCAAATTTCTTCTAGGTTAGCTTTTTTAGCCTCGGACAAATAAAAATTTTCTGTTTTTGAAGTACAGTGAAATCATTCATATATGCTTTCTCTTCAGGTAAGTGCTTTCGCAACAGAGTATAAACACTCGGACATTTTTAACTTATCAGTATGGGAAGAATAACATCTAGGTTGACAATATTAGAGAATAAAAAACCTATGAAACACCCATCCCCCCATTACTTTAAGAGACTGTTGAAGTTAAATATGTGCATTCCTGTGCACTTTCCAGTCTCATTCAAAGAGGGCACATTATAGCCAGCCTTGAAATTTCATTTTGCTGCTTCATTCTGTTTAAAGGGAGAGTTGCTATTTTTTTATTGGCTACCCTAAACGAAGGCGGAGTGGCTTCTGGTGAACCGCTGGTCAGTGTCTCTGAAGCACTGAAGCCTGGAGAGAGATTATACTTTAGACACAAGATGCCTGCTGAAACTATGTTGCACAGAGCACAAATGCTAGTGAATATAGCTCCCAGCCATTTCTTGGAGTGGGAAATGTGTTTCAATTTGCAAGTATTCTTTTAGTTAAATTGTCTACATGTAAGCCATTACAAATTCTGATAAATTTCAATTAGTAGGAAAAACAAAAGTAAATGGTCTTATTTCTGTTGTTTGGTCACTGATAAAGTTGTGCATTTCATTAAAGTTATTATTGTGACTGTAAATTGTCACAAATTAAACTTGCAAGATATTTAGTCATCACTAGGGGAAAAAAAAGCAGAGAAATGTTTCTAAAGAAAGTTTCTTTGATTTTAAAATTAAGGTTTTGCAAAGCTGAGATATTAGCCAATATGTAAATTTGGAAACTTGTTTTCTTCTCTGTGAATTTGACCTGATATTTTCCTGTTCAACTGAAAGCAAATACTTATAGTACTCTCAGCACCAGCTGGAATAAGTCTGATTTCAGAGACTCAGAAAACCCAGAATTTTGCATACAAGAATGTAATCTGGGTTGATGTTGATTGCTCCTATTTTTAACAGATTGACAAAGAAGTCTTGAGACCGTGCTATTGATAGCTGGCAACTGTTTAGTTACATTGGTAAAAATGCAACTCATATGCATATAGAAGTTTAGTATTTGTTGCCTGGCTTCTGGTTGCCTATTTTTCTTCTTCTCCTCTGTTTCCCCCCCCTCAGAAATCAGACAATATGTTGACACAGTTGACACACTAAGTTCTGGTTGTCAGCACTGTCAAGTAATTCTGGCGGGTTTATCCGTGTACATCTGCCACTCTTCATAACTGAGCATTTTTGATCTGCTTCAGAAATACCTTTCAGTAAACTTGCTAGCAACACATTAATGCACATTAGCAAAATATTTTGCTAACTAGTTCTTTTCTCTTACGTTGACATTATAAGACTTTTTAGTATTTGTGGTTTATAATTAATTTCTTAAGATATGAAGCTCAAAAATATTCTAAGTAAAAAGAAAAATATTAATATGTTCACCAGTTAACATCAGTGATACCTACTTTTTAATTAAGGTCTTTGCAGTGATCAAAAATTTTAGGCAGAAAACTATAATCAAGGTTTGTGTTCTTTGTAATATTTGAAGGCAGCTGATAGCTACTGGTATATCTAGTTCTAGGAAAAAGTATTAAATTTGAAAAAGTTTTTCTTACAAACATGTATATAAAACAATATGCTAGGTATCTCCATCCCTGAATTTGAGTAATACATTATTGTATGTTGTATGTCAAAACTAGTTGATTTCTGTCCCAAGGAGTTGTGCTGCAGAACGTATCAGACCATTTAAAATATCGATTGGTAGTTGGTTCTGTTAGAAATTCTGTTGGCATCTGCCTTGTGATTCCTCTTGAAAGGCAGCTAAAAATGCTTTGAAGGAGGCTGGTTTTGTGTACTTACCAAGGAAAATTGATTGCACTGTATACAAAAAAGAGAAGATACAAAGCTGATAGCTGAAAAGAAAGAAGCAGTCGGTCTGGAATGAAATGTAATGGAGCAAATACGAGTTGGAGATAAGATCACCAGAATAGGTGTATATGAAGGCCAGATATGAAATACAGAAATGTGACCAGTTTGTTCTGAATATTCTTCAGCTTCCAGGTGGTTCAGGTGAAGGTTCTCTGTCGTGATTGTCATGTGAGAAGCAGTAGTGGTGTGCCATTATGCTAAGTAATCCTTATTTCTGGCATTTGAGGCTGAGATGAACCGATTGTCTCTGGGACCTGGGCAGCGCTTCAGTTCTTTTTCACAGCAAAGTGGTGGGGCTTGAAAAGCGCTATTGTCATCTTATGCTCCTGAGCTGCTCCCAGAATTCTCTTTTCCTTCATTTCTCTCAGGTAAATAGTGCATTCCTTTTGGCTTTTGGCCATATGAAGATATTGGGACACAGCTTGTGAGGTTAGGAGGATTGATAGTGCCTGAAATAGATCCTTGGAAGCATGGATAAGAAATTCTCTTTACAGTGGAGAAGATAGAGAAGGAATTAAATGTTTGGAAACCAGTATGCTAATTATGGAAGACCTACCCTGTGAATTTTTCATAACAACAACACTACAACAATTTCTGAGAAATTGTCCAAGTTTTGATGCTTTCTGAGATATGTTCTTTAGAAACAATAAAAAATGCACAATTGCAAGTTTTAGATTTGAGGAATGCATAGCAATTTGGTGCTCCGAAGATTCTGGCCATAATCAACTCATTCTTGGCAACTTTGCTGATGAATACTTCTCTAGCAGAAATAAATAAGGTGGTATTTATTATGGATAAGGATAGTTTTAACATGCTATAATTTTGCAGAGAGACTGAGAAAGGTTTGTTGGGGAAGCATTTTGGTGTTGGGTTTTTTTCCTCATGGATTTCAACAGGAGTTAGTCTGGACCTAGATAAAATTATAAGCTAAATTTAGAAATGATACATAACTTTAGTATTTTGTACCGAAAATGCAAATCCAAGCACGCAGTGAGTTTGCGTATAAATATATATTCATAAATATATGTTTATATGAATACATATTTATACATTTAGATATAGATACACTAATTAGTAACACATTAGCAGGCACAAGTACTTTTCATTATACTAAACACACTCTAGTTGTTTGTTGAGTGAAGGGCAAGGGAATGGTTACTGTATAATATTTATAATTCCAGTGTGACTTTTGGTTGATGATTAATTGATAGAAAAAAACATATAAAAATAAATAAAAAGATATTTTATTGGCTGATACATTCTGGTGACTTGTTTTAAAGCCTTTGTTTAAATCTAGGTTATGGTTTTTTTCAACTATCAGTAGTTGTATTCAGTAGGTCTATTTGAAGATTCATTTTTAAAACGTTATAGTTCTTTAGTCTAAATTTGACATTCTGGGCTCTGGATTCTTCTCAGCTTAGTAGGTAGCCATACTTAGAAGCATTACTGGTATCTTGAAAACTATTTCTTGACATGTTGGCTAATCTTATTTTTTCTTACATGATAACACACAAGTACTGCAGCCTGCAGCTTTATGAACAAAAAGAAAGAAAAAAAAAAAAAGACCTAGTTGCTGTGGAAGTAACTGAGTTCAGTTTTCTTTTTTTTTCCCCCCTCCTCCTTTCTCCCACGCTTTTTGCTCCTGTTGTTACTATTAACTAGCAAAACAAATAGCCTGACTGTGAATACTAAAATGTGAAAATGAATGTCATGGTTTCTCAGTGGTCTTGCAGTGTACTAGAGACAAGCAATATGTGACATTCTAACCTTGGTAGTTGTGAAGTATTTTACAATTTTTGTTAGATTTTTGAGTTCTAAATGTCTGCATTTTCAAAATACAGTAACAGTACAGAAGAAAAAAAGCATGTGACTTTCATAATTAAAGTATGATAATTTTAGCACTAATTATATACAGATTTTAGGGAAGCAACTGAAGCATAGGTAAGCCCTCAGAGTTTGTGAAGGTAGAGCAAAGGTGTGAGTTCAGTACACAGTTGA